GGAATCAAAAACATACGAACCAAGAAGAAGAACAGAAAACAAAAGCAAAAAAAGAAAAAAAAGAAAGAGAAACGAAATTAAACGAGAAGAAAAAAATGAAAAAGAAAGGGTGATAAGGGGAAGAAGGGTGGTAGTTGCTTTTGGAGGGTGACGCGTATGTAATACGCGAAAGAATTGCGTTTGGTATGGTGAGAAGAGAGAAAATGTTACCCCTCTGCCTCGTCATCCGTCACGTTTCCAAGTAGATCCTCGTGTTCCCTATATCGAAGCTCCCTGTATTGAATATCCGACTCGAAATCCGAGCTGAACTCCAACTGACGCAGACGCGTTCTAGCTACGAGAGTGTCCATTTCGATGGCCTTGACCTGCTGCTCCAATCGTTGAAGCATATCCGTGCTCTCTGCCGCGGTACCTTTTTGCTGGTTCCGGATCAGAGCGAGATTAAACGCGATGGTCGCGGGGTCGTCGCGTTGTTCACTTTCGATAATCGGCTGAATGATCTTGGAGTTTTTGAAAGCCTTCAAGGTCTCCTCTAGATTCACGTCGATCGGGACGTTGGCCGGTAGAGTGGTTCTTCTGTTGAGAACGACGGGGGTTGTGGATCGTTCTACTACACCCCTCGTCGAACCACCGGCCTTTTCCACCACTCTCAGGCCGCGATCGCACTCTACCAACTCCCATTGCTTCAGATTCTCCATGGGGGTGTGAGGCGCCACGTACCTTCCTCCGCCGCCGCTGTTGCTTTGCTTGCCAGCAGCTCTGGACGCGGCGGCACCAAGTTGACGCTGGTTATCCGTTATTCGGCCGGTTTGCGATCGGATCGAGCCTCTGCTCGGCTGCGTCCGCGAGAACGGCCTCTCGTGTCGATCCTCCATCTTCGCACGAGCTAACGATTCCAGCCTCCGAAAACACGGAGCAATTCGAACCTCCTTGTCCTCCTCCTAGCGACGCCGCAGGAAATTTTTGCCAAAGGTTCACCAGATCGCCAGAGCACCGGTAATCCGTCTTCAACATGGATTCCTCATCGACTTTGCCTTGGGCAGCTTGGCGGCTCGATTTCTCTCTGTTAGAAAAACATGTGTTATCCTCGTTAAGGATTCGGCTATCTGGCTGACTGGCTTGCTTCTTCGTCGACGAAAGGACGGACGACAGTATCACTCTCGGACACGTTTCACATTTATTAGCCAAAACCCGAGCACGAGACACGATCCAGCCGACAAACTATTCTTTCGCCGGTCGAAACTTTTCTCTCGTTGCCAACAATCACATATACGTATACATATAAATACACATACATACATACATACATACATACATACATACATACATACATACATACATACATACATACATACATATATCGATACATACGTATATAGATATGTGTGTATGTGTGCGCGCGCGTGTACAGATAGATAGATAGATATAGAAGTATCGATAAGCAGAAAGCAGCGATGCGTACAGGCACACTTGATGGGAATACGAAAGCTTTTCTCGGCCGAGGCAACGTCTCGCGAGATTGAAACGCTTTCTTGGCAATCAACCTGCTCGCGTTTTACTAATTGTAAGTGAGTGGGGTAATACTGGGCTGGCCTGAATCGCGGACAAGCAAGCAATTTCGACTATTTCCGCGATACATTCGGCAGATTAAAGCGCGAGGTACACCACAACGCTGTTTCACAGAACTGAGAACAAACGAGAGTTGTGGAAGTGAGTAGCGTAGAAGAAAGGATAGTCGCGAAATCGGTACATATTACCGCATTCTCCCGTCTGAATCGAACCGAGCGATAAAGACGTGGCAAAGAATGGCACGCACGCGTGTAACCAACGTGTCGATTCATCCAACTAACTCCCGGTTTATTTTTTCAGTGGCTGGTCGTTCGACCCGCCCTGACCCGCCCCGCCCAGTCCTAGCGAACACTAGCGAGAAATCGGAGCAAAACGATTTGGCGTGGTCGATGGAAAAGTTGGCGACTCGTTTCGAGTGCAGGTTAATAAACGCGATAAGAAGGTTCCGTCGTCCAGAGCGGTGGTTGTGTAATCCGTTGTGGTGAAACAGGTGGAGAAATGTGGAAAGGAGATAGCGTGGCGTGAAAGAAGAGTCCTAACCGTATGGCTGCGCGTCGGCAGCCGTTCATCGAAATGGTGGAAGCCAGCACACTCGTCGACTCTGAACGCACTCTGCGAGGAAACGCGCGCGGATTGATCACCGGCAGCGGTGAACCGAAGATGGGAACGAACGGAGCGAGGTTGCGCGTCAACGGCCTGCTACGAACAACTGGGTCCATTTCCCCCCGAACGATAACCGCTCGGCCGGGCCGGCCAACTCCACTTCTCGTTAGACCGTTATCAGCGGCTGATACTGATAAGCGATACACCGTCTACCTAACACAGACCGGATTCCAGCGGTCGTGCCGCGAGGGGAAAAATATATTTAAGTGTTTGCGGCACACCGAGAGCCGCACCGTTTCTCGACGCGACAACGACTTTTTTCACCGTGGAGAATAATCGATGCCATTTGGAAGGAAAGGCGAGAAATCCACTACGACTAGGAACGTTTACCGCTTGTTTATCTCTACCGAGTCCAAGAACGCGCGCGCCTCTCGTATCTGTAGATTCGCTGCTACTCCTCCCTGGGGCGACCGTCTTCGCGCATAATTATTATCTTTTCGCGTTTTGGAACGCTTCTCTTTTCCATCGAAACACTTGTGCTGCGATTTCGATCGAATCGAATCGAATCGAATCGAATCGAATCGACGATAAGTGTATGTGATCTATCGTTAACGCGAGTTCAAGAAAATGAATTGGGAGCGTGGGCAAAATTTCTACCTGTTATTTAGTAGAAGAAGAAAAAACGAAAGAAAAGGAGCACGACACGGTGCAATCGATGATAAGATAGCAATATCGGACGGCGAGAGAAGGAAAGAAAAAGGGGCCTTGGCTTATCGTCGACATATCGGTAGAGGCTGGGCTCTGGATAGACTGGTTATCGGGCCGATTAAGCACCAGCAACAGCCACGTTCTCTGCCTTCCGTTGGAACGTGGCCGCCGGTAAGCTGTCCGCCGCGGTTAAGAATCGAACAGGTGGCCGGCAAGGCCGACCTCGGGAAAAATATACTCCCGTCTAATCGTGCACGCGCTTCGGCCACGTGAACTCGACGCGCCTCGCTCTCATACGACAACTTGGGATCGAGAGGAACGAGCCAGTGTCGGCGGCCGCGTTCACTCACAGTTACGGAACAGTCGCACGATCGATTCGAAAAAGAAGACGAAGGTTGGTAAATGAAAGACGCAGAAACTGCACCATTCTCGGTATCCGTGAAATTACACGCAAGTTATGTAAAGCGTTTCTTCGCATTTCCAGTCACTGGCCTTGTCCCCCCTGCCTTGCCTTCTTTCATTCCGCGTCACTCTCTCTCTCTCTCTCTCTCTCTCTGTCTCTCTTCGGAAGTCGGATAACGAGGATGGACCTTTAATCGATTTTCCGCGTCTCGACACTCACACTTCTATACCGCGGTGTTTCCGTTGCTCGACGAATAAACGAATCGTCGGGCACGCGTCGGTTCGCGTCGAGCAGTCTGCGCGCGGTCCGGTCTGGCCGATTCTCGACGAGGTTGCATCCGGTCGTGGTGATCGGCGGTTGCGCGGCTTACAATAGTGACTCACTCGCGCGGTCCGTCGCTTTTCGACCGCGAACATAGCTGCCTGCGTATGGTCGCGCCAGCTCAAAGTGCAAGTGCCCGATAGCAGGTCTGTAGCGAACCACTTTGGTGCCCCTGCCCAACCGCCATTCTCTCCCTCCTCTTCGACTATCCACCGACCTTCAGACGCGATTCTTCGACCACGCTCGCCAGATGGCCGATCGCGATTCTGATTCAACGCACAGTCGTCTTCCACCGAACAAGTAAGTCTCTTTTTCCTTCGAATTTTCTTCCACGCTCTTTCTTCACCTGTTGGTCGTGCCAACAACGCGACAAAGCCGCGACAACTTCCCCCACTCCTCTCCCGTTGAGAGAACGCGGGCTACCGCGAATGCGGTCGAGGTGTATCACCCGCTCGCGGCGCGGTATTTTCCAGAGAACGAAACTCAAAGTATGTAGTGGCGTTTCGTCAGCCAGGTGCGTCGAGACCGTGCCGTGTGCCACGCTCTTTTTCTTTTGTGCGCATCACGGTCCGACGCTTATAAAAATGAAAGTCCCGTGAAGCGAGTCACGACGATCGGTGGTCAACCGTTCGAAAACGTTCCAATGTTCCACGTTGTACATTCTCAGCATCGAACTTGCAACGAATGCGCTTCTAGAAACGCACTTGAAACCTGGGCGAAAGGATCGAGAAAGTGTGACGTTTAAGAAGAATCTTATATGTTAAGCTGAAAAAGAGAAGAGAAAGAGAAGAAGAGAGCTGTTAGCGAAACGCGGTGGAAAATTCGCGGAATGGAAAACCGAATGTAAATGTTGGGAACGGTTGGAAAGGAGCGAAATCTGTGGTATCCGACGTGAAAGCATCGTCCTCGAGAACAGGTGGGCGTGAATCGAGCGGCCACCTACGCTCGCGCATGAATCTGTTTGCGCGCGCTCGTTAACTAGTCTCCTCGATCTTCTCTCCGTCCTAAGTTCAGACTACGTGGGCGGCTCGGAAATTCTGTCACGCGTCACCGGGGTTGACGTTGCTCTATGGAGCGGTTTAACCGTGGAGAGTGTTGACGTAAACGTTTATCGGCAAAGGACCAGAACGAAGGGTCGGTCAGCCGTGAACGAGAAGCAAAACCGAAGAATCGATGCAGAACGGAAGCGAACGGTTACGGAGCAGCTCGTTTCGCTGTTTTCGACGCTGATCGCTCGTTTCCCGGTGGCGTTAGAAAGCGTGCTTGGCGTTAGAAAACGATCGAGTGTCGCGAGCGAACGATCGGTGGAAAGTTGCAGCGCGTTTGAATCGGGGTCGATTCGTGCAGCGCGAGGACGTTCCGCAATGCATCCCGCCGCTGGCTGTTCCTTTGCTCGGACATGCATCAGGAGAACCTTTTCACTTTTTTCTTTTCTCCGCCGGCGTTGTTATTCGTCACGAAACAACGCGACCTTCGAAACGTTTCTTGGCTGCATCTCCATCGACGAACGACGTTAACGAGGTTAAGCGCCACGACGGGAAAAACCTTCTCGTTTGCTTTGGTGAAAATCAGTTGTTTGTAAGATTGCACCTTCGCCCTCCTCTCGTCCACTACTCTAGCTCCCGGGATGATCGATCGTGTCGATTTCGAGCCAACTCGGAATTTCAGTCCGTTTCCAAGGGACATCTGGTAAGAGAGCGTTTTCCAAAATTAGTCGTCCAACGAACAATGTTCCCTTCTTGCCCTTCTTATGGTTTAAATTCGACCGGACTGGATGTAGATAGGTACATGTATACGCCGCGCGATCAAACTTCTCCGAACCTTAGAGTTGACTCACTCGATTATTTTCGGAGATTCGTAACGTAGTTGCTCACCTATCGATGCCTCTCTATCCTAAAGCACGACGGACGACAGGTACATATGTATATCGTCGAAAAGTATTTTCCAGGATAAACGCGTATATCGATAAATATGTATTCGCGTCTGGCGCGTTTCGCACGATTACACTGGCCGCCCCACACTGATTTGCCGGAAATCGACTTGCGGAACGTGGGCGCCTGCCTTTTCCTTTAACGCATCACGGCGATAAACCAGCTCTATGAGATAACGAACCGTGTGGTTGGTTTCTACATGTTTCGCTGTTGAGAAGCGTAAAAAGAAGCTACCGTTGCTAATTGTTTATCGTGCACGCGCCTGCCCGCCGCGACCTACAGTTATGTAGCTTCCAGTTACACGAGCTTCGCGAATCGCATTATTAAAGCTAGTTTACATAATTCCATGTTAATCGGCATCGCGTACGCAGTTGGGAGTTGAAATCGACGCGACGCGACGCGACGCGACGGAACGTTTCCGTGCGATAGCCGCGTAGAATCGATACGATCGAGAAACGACAACTTTCTCGTTTAAGCGCGCGCGCGCAAAAAGTTGGATCGTTGTTCCTCGCGAGCATAGATTAAACCAACCGAATCATTTTCCCAGCGGAATTTCTTTTCGCCTCGGAAAGGTTCTACTCGAGACTGGCACGGTTGCGCAAATGTTTATATTGAGAAACGTTGGGACGTGACTCGTCGTCGATAAGACGAGTCCTTTACTTATCGTGCCAGCCGAGCAAGCAAAAAATATGACAAAAAGACTGACGTTCATCCGTAGGATAAAACGAAAGAATTCACCCGAATTTTTCTCTTCCTTCTTCTCTCCACTAGTACCTTCCACCGATCGTTCGATCGTTCCAACTTGGACGCTGAACTTGTCGTCGAAGGAAAGTATTCTCGCGAAACAATGTCGAACAGGATCGGGATCGTCGGGCACGGTAGGGGAATGTCGTCGAGTCGTTAGATGGAAACGGCCTTGATGAAACTCCCATCGAATGTCCGTAGGCACGTATGGACGAACGGACCCCTGTGCGATGGCTATCACGGAAGTGAATCGTTTAAAGTACATTTGAGCCGTTGTTAACCGGTGTCGACAAAGAATCGTTCACCGTCACCGAGTTTCATTCATCACAGCTTTTCGAACGCGTTCCGCCGCCTCTCGATATCGTCGATGGTCG